AGACGGATTATTTTTTTCTACATAGAAAATGATGGGAACTATACTGTAAGTAACCCACGCACATTAGATTTTCGTATATTTTGAGATAAAAAATAAAATGTATATTTGTCCATACAAAAATTTTTTTTCTCTGAATCTATCAACTTTTCAAGAAATCATACAAGAATAAAAGTTGTTAGGAATGTTATTATATATCACATAAAAAAAATTTGCTCGATACTCCACAAGTTATTCCTATGTCCAAGAATTATCAATTTGGGCCCACTGTGTGGCGTTCCGATATGACCCTTTGGGACCAATGCAATATCTGCGATATCATACTTCTTGGAATTGCAAATAAAATTAAAAAATATTATTTCGCACGTTCGGTGTTCTCAGCCTAAAATCACCGTAGCCATTGTTTTTTCTCGCTTCTTACACCCAGTAACATTGAAATATGAATAATTTTAAGCTAAACTATCAATGTGTCTAAATGGCATTAGAATAGACAAAGTAGTGTTCTAGTTATTATTTAGAGGATGGAAACGTTGTGAGTTGCGATTGTTTTTTTTTACAATGTATTTGTATACGACTCCAGGTGCATATCCATTTTGAGGAAAAATATAGCGCCATCTAGTTGACGTGTTTGTTATCACTAGAAGCAGATTTGATAGAATCAATGTGTCAATGTAAAATAACGTTACAAAATAGCTATTTGGTAATCGTCGCGACATCTAGTGTACCAATAGGTACTAAATACCCGGCTACGCTATCTTGTATGACGATTAGCAGTCCTCTTGAGTTATTGGTCCATGGTATTACATAGGGGCGGGACTTGCGGTTACTGAGTACTTGAGTAAGATAGCTCTTCAAGAAAGAAAAATATTGAAAATTGCTCTACAGAATGCAAGAAAACAAGGAAAAATGCTATAATTAGAAATAATAAGCTAATAATAGACGGACAAGAAGTAACACCGCATAAAGAAACCTATTCGACATCTAATTCTACAAGAACATCCTCACCATTAACTACAAACCCCATACAGGAAAATAGAGATCATTCCTTTCGAACTGAAGAACGAGGAAATCTCCGCCACCAACTTACAACCACCTTTCATACAAACATTCGACATACTCTACCAGAACATGCGTAGTATATTAAAAAAAACCCACCTCCCAGGAGCGCTAGTTGATGAAAGACCTGATTTATATGCAGTATGTATAACAGAGTCCTGCTTCGCTAAGGGAAAAATTGATATATTGCAAACACACGGCTTCTTTATAGCTTCATCCTTCTGTCGGCAAAACTATGAACGTGGATGTGTAAGCATATTACTTTAAGAGCATACTGAATACAAAGAACGCGATGATATAATTAAGTTGTGAATAGAGTTTATCATAGAATTGTGTGCTGTAGAAATACCATCCTTAAACTTTCTGTTAATAATTGTTTAATGGCCGGTTAATAGTAGAGAAATTGATCTTTTCCACGAACACTTCCTCAAAACTAAAACTCCTCCAGCTCAATACGTTAAAAGACAAAACCAAGTCCATTATCATAGGCGGAGATTTAAATGTAGACTTCCTAACAAATAATAAACAACAACAAATCCTATCCAACTTGATGTCATCGTTTAACTTCAAACAAAATATAAAAGAAGCCACCCGTGGCACATGTACTACAAAAACTTGTATAGATATTATGTTCTCAAACATTAAATTAGACATCCAACCAAAGGTGTGAGAACTTTGTTTTTCAGATCACAAAGGGGTCCTGGTATCGTTGCCAAAAATATCACAAAATCCTAAAAAAGTTTTATTTATACAAAAAAGGATATTTAATGAAAAAAATGTCTACTACTTTATGTACGCACTACACCTTTAATCGACTGGAAAATAATATAAATACAAATTGTAATATCTTTGAATATGTCCTGAAAACTATTCTAAACAAATGCATACCTAAAAAATGTATGAAAATAAAAGAAAACAGTAAAAATACTTGGAGTCTTTATAAAACTTGCGTACCTCTTACAAGACTGCTCAAATTGTTAGTTTTGCAAACGGACGACCAGGTTCTCCATAGCTACTATAAAACCTATAAAAAATCTCTGAAAATATTAGTAAATAAATGTAAAAAACTAAATGACTCGCATGGAATAAAAAAGTCTACGAATAAAGTCAGAACAATGTGGCAAATAGTTAACGTACAAATAAAAGAACACACTAAACGTAACCGAAATACTGCACTGAACATAAACATAAACAATAAAAAAGTAAGCGACCCGCTCAGTATCGCATGTGAATGTAATTAATTTTTTGCAACTATTGGTGGTACCTCTTCAAACTGTGACAATCAAATATATATAATATCATTAAAAATCTTAAGAATTAGACCAGATGCGGTATACATGAATTACCCCAAAGTTAATCAATCCTTTTTGGAGGCTGTTTTCCCGGATGCATTAATAATTTCAATTGTAAAACCTATCTACAAAAATGGAGACAAATATGACTTCAATAATTACCGTCCGACAGCTTTGTTACCAACATCCGCTAAAATATTTGAAAGTGCCATGTCCAGGAGACTACATTCATTCTGCGAAAAATTTCATATTTTTGATGATAACCGCTCAACCGATCTGGCCATTTACAAATTCACTCAAAAAATCCTTAACATCATAAACGATAAAAAATGTGCAATTGGAATTCTCTTGGATAAAAGCCTACGAAAAAAGCTATACGATATCGGTATTAGGGGTGTTACACATCGATGGTTTAGGTCTTACTTACTAAATAGGGAAACAGTATGTCCAGATCGAAAGTACTAATAAAGAAACCGGAAACGTTCAAAAAATCATGTCATATAAAGTAGAAAGGGAAAATTCCATACCACAGGGAAGTGTGCTTGCTTGTATACTATTTATCATATATATTAAAGATCTTCCAAAAATATTAAAAGACGAACGTCTCCTATTTGCTGATGATATCTCCATAGTTTTTCCTTGTTGCAATATAAATTATGTAAACCATAGCCTAGATATAATTCTGAATAAAATAAATATTTGGCTTGACCAACACCAATTACAACTAAATCTAAAAAAACGAAAGTAATCCAAACAAAACCCTATCAAAAGAAAACCTTACAAATAATTTACTATCATAAAAATATTTTATTAGAAAGCGTACAATCAGCTACATTGTTATGACTTGAATTGGACTATATCC